AGTGCCAGCACCCCCAACTCCAGCACCCCCAGAACCAGCACCTCCAGTGCCGGCACCTCCAGCTCCAGCACCCCCAGAGCTAGCGCCACCTGCGCCAGCACCTCCAGCTCCAGCACCCCCAGAGCTAGCGTCACCTGCGCCAGCACCTCCAGCTCCAGTACCCCGCGACCGAGCACCCCCAGACCGAGCACCGCCAGCGGCTGCACCTCCAGCTCCAACACCAACCGAGTCCACACCTGTCGCGGAAGTGCCGAAGGCTGCTGAGGGGACTGTGAGGAGGACTGCGGGGAGGGAGACGCTACCTGACGCGCGATCGAGGGGAGAGGGGTAGCGTGGGACACACCAGACGGGGCAGGACCAGGGGGGGGCGGGGGTACCGGAGGAGCGGGAGCAGGAGGAGGAGAGGGTGCGAGGAAGAGAGGGGGAGGGGGTACCGGGAGACCTCGACAGGGGTACCGGGTGTAGTAGGACACGGACTCGTCAAACCGGACGTCACGGGAATCTAGGAACTGGTGGAGGGGAGGGTGGTAAAAAGACCAGTCAGCAGAGTCCACTGGGAAACCAAGGAAGACACAGGGGACGGCGCGTGCCGAGAGCTTGTCCGCGGAGGTGTCGCGAACAAGTGCAAGGCAGCCCCAGACTCGAAAGGCCGACCCAACACCAGGGGATCCAGTCCAGAGACTGGTCGGTGAAGCCTCGGGCCGCGAGACACGCGGCTGGAGGTTCAGCTGGTGTGCGGCGTAGCGAACCGCGTGAGGCCACAGAAAATGGGGCGCACGGGCATGAATCATGGACGTGCGGGCGATGTCCATGACCAAGCCTATGCGGCGCTCAGCAACCCCATTCTGCTGTGGGGACTCTGGCAGCGTCCAGGACTGGGTGATGCCCTGTTCGCCGCAGAATCCGCCGAGAATGCCGGAGCGAAACTCGCCCCCACGGTCGGAGTGAAGACAACTGACTCGACGACCACGAATGCCCTCAGTGGCTAGAAGCCACCTGATCAGCGTAGCAGTCACCTCGGACTTCTTCGCAAGAGGAAACACTGTGGTGTACCTGGAGAAGTCGTCGACGACCACCAGAAAGTAGCGCTCCCTCCCAGACCCCTGCGTCGGGGCAGGGCCCCAGACGTCCAAGTGGAGAGTCTCGAAGGGAGCGGTGGCCGGACGAAGGGAGGAGGAGTGGGGAGTGGCACGTAAGCGACCGGCGACGCACGGAGAGCAAGGAGGGGCAAGCGAGGGAGGGAGCGACGGGAAGGTGCGTGGGAGACCTGTGACTAGTCCCTGACTGAGCATGCCACGAAGGCGAGGGATCGACGGGTGGCCAAGACGGTGGTGCCACAGGACGGTGCGGTGGGCGAGAGAGCGACAGGAGCAAGACGCAGCGACTGGACTGGACACAGCGACCGGACTGGACACAGCCACCTGACCGGACTCTGCTACCGGGGGGGACGAAGCAACCTGACCAGACGCAGCTACCTGCGGGGGCGGAGTGTGCAGGACGAAGAGACCTGAGTGGGGCTCTCTGGTGAACGTGGCAAGAACTGCCCCGGTGGAAGAGTCCGTACAGATCGCAGTCCTCCCGTGCGCAGGAAAAGTGACTGTGATCCCCCGGTCCTGAAGGTATCCAACACCCACCAAGTTCCGAGAGAACGAGGGGATGTAGAGACCAGTGAGGAAACCAGAGGGGACAGCCGGGCACGGGAGGGTGGTCGAGCTACGAGCAACTGCTGGTCCTGAAGTAGGATCAGCCAGGGCAACTGGGACTGGAGCCGAAAGAGGTGTGACAGTGGTGTGGTCGCGGAAGAAACACTGAGACGCGCCGGAGTCCAGCGTGAAGGAGAGCGACGCAACAGCAGTCGTCACGGCTGGGCTAGTGACTACACAAGCACCTACACTAAAAGCACAAGTACCGACACTAGCAACAGGCAAAGGTCCTAAGCTAGGTACACGTAAGCCAAGAGATCCGTACGTGACAGAATAAACAGCATCCATAGACATATCAAACACAGGGAAACCACTACGAAACAGACCGGGCTAGATCGGGGGAGCCGACTCAGGCCCAAAACGCTCACGGTAAAGGTCGTCGAGGCGGCTGTAGCAGCGCTGTGCAGAGTGGTCAGGACGCCAGCAGGTAGTGCCAGCACCAGGGCCGGTCAGGATCCGGTACTGGCAGGGGCCGACGTCGCGGCCACCGCGACGAGCCCCCCAGCTGGCTGGGCCGCTGCTGCAGCCAACGCGACCTGAACCACCAGGCCCCCATGGCTGCTGAGGGCGCCACAGCTGCTGAGGGCGCCCCTGCCGCTGCGGAAGCCACTGCTGAAAAGGCCGCTGCTGCTGTCCCTGCTGCTGGAGAACCCTAGCGGACTCCATGATAAAAGCTAGCGGGGTGCAGGAGCGGCAGGCTAGGAGCGACAGGAGCGACAGGCTGCTGTGAAAAACGAGAACAACTAGGAGCGCAAGGTGAAACCAGGCGAGTAACTGCTGGAGCACGGAGCGAACTAAGCTAGGAGCGCCAGGTGAAACCAGGCGAGTAACTGCTGGAGCACGGAGCGAACTAAGCTAGGAGCGCCAGGTGAAACTAGGTGAGGAACGGCTGGAGCACGGAGCAAACTGAGCTAGAAGCGCCAGGTGAAACTAGGCGAGGAACGGCCGGAGCACGGAGCAAACTGAGCTACGAGCGAGGAGCGAGAACGGCTGGAGCGAGAACGGCTGGAGCTAGAAGCGGCGAGCTAGGGCTGGCTGGAGGTAGGAACGGCCGGGGCTAGAGACCGTAAGTGCGGCTGTCGGCTGCCGCTAGTAGAGCCACTGGCAGTGGAAAGTACGTGCGACAGTAGGGGCTGCAGTACTGACGGCTGCGGGATGTAGGCAACTGTGCAGGTCGTCCGGCAAGCAGGAACGCGGGCGACAGTCGCAGGCCCCCACTGTGAACCCCTTTTTTTTTTTTTTTTTTTTTTTAGGGTTTAATTTATTTATTTATTTTCTGGCACTAAAGCACCCCGGGGCGCGCTGCCTGCAGGGTGTGCTGCCTGCGGGGCGCGCTACCCGCGGGGCGCGCCTCCTGCGGGGCGCGCTACCCGCGGGGCGCGCTACCCGCGTGGCGCGCTGCCTGCGGGGCTGGGGTGACGAGCCAGGGAGGGCGCCTAGGCGACGGGCTAGGACGGGCGCCTGGGCGACGGGCTAGGACGGGCGCCTGGGCGACGGGCTAGGGCGCAGGCCTAGGCGACGGGCTAGGACGGGCGCCTGGGCGACGGGCTAGGGCGCAGGCCTGGGCGACGGGCTAGGGCGGGCGCCTGGGCGACGGGCTAGGGCGGGCGCCTGGGCGACGGGCTGGGGCGGGCGCCTGGGGGACGGGCTGGGGGGGGCGCCTGGGCGACGGGCTAGGGCGGGCGCCTGGGCGACGGGCTGGGGCGGGCGCCTGGGCGACGGGCTGGGGCGGGCGCCTGGGCGACGGGCTGGGGCGGGCGCCTGGGCGACGGGCTGGGGCGGGCGCCTGGGCGACGGGCTGGGGCGGGCGCCTGGGCGACGGGCTGGGGCGGGCGCCTGGGCGACGGGCTAGGGCGGGCGCCTGGGCGACTGGCTAGGGCGGGCGCCTGGGCGACGGGCTAGGGCGTGGGCCTGGGCGACGGGCTAGGGGCGCAGGCTAGGGGCGCGGAGGGCGCTAACGCGCGGAGGAGGAGGGCGCTAAGGCGCGGAAATGGCGCGGAGGGCGCGGTGGCTAAGGCGCGGAGGGCGCGGAGGGCGCGGAGGGCGCGGAGGGCGCGGAGGGCGCGGAGGGTGCTAGGGCGCAAGGGCGCGGAGGGCGCGGAGGGCGCGGAGTGTGCTAGGGCGCAAGGGCGCGGAGGGCGCTAGGGCGCGAGCTAGGCTAGGCTAGGCGAGAGGATCGACACCTACTCATGATACCATCTCAAAGTTAGCGAACAACGGAATGATTGGAATAGAAACGAATGGGGTACAAATGAGCAACCCTAGAAGCTGTACCCCCTAGAGTGCAACTCACTATAGCCTATCATATCAATGTTCAACATTTGACAAAAGCAATAAAGGAACGTAGGAAAAACGACGACATAAAAAACACTTAGAATCACAAGAAGAGGACCGTACCGTAGACGGAAAGGGAGGAGAAGTACAAGGAAGAATACCAGATCGATTGATTTGACAAGAAAAACGAGGAGAGGGAATAACAAAGAAGCGATCGTAGATCGAGAGGGATAGGTTAATAGTATTCTAAGCTCACCTTAGTAGTTAAAATAGAAGAGGTTGTGTTGAAGGTAGGGTAGTTAGCAGGAGCGGTAGTTGAAGCAGAAGAAGAGGGAACTAACGGGAGAAGGAGCAGAGGGCACCAGCGAGAAGGGAAACGGAAATCCTAAGAAGGCTTGACTTCACGCAAATATATAACACAACTTTATTATAATGTCGACACTTTTATCAGCCGACGTAGCGCAACGGTTTCGGAGTTTTTGTAGATGGAAAGATCTCGTGATCGATTCACCGCGGAAACGAACCCTGACGATCTCGGTTTTCGAAAGTTACATTTGCTGTACGTGTTGTGAAAGTTACATCTCGATATTAATGATATGTTTTGTGCAAAAATATGAAAAGCTCCGCAACCCCCTGACGATTTCGTCGCCTCTTGTTTTTTTTTTTAGAGGTAAGGTTGGCGACAACAAAGGAAACAGGAGCAACTGCTGGTGGTTGGACGAGAATGGAGTGGAACAACAAAGATCCGAAATGAAGACGTGGGTGGAGGCCAAATGGCCTCCAACCCTCTTATATATTCGGCGAATGCTAATTTGCAGTTGCCTTGCTGCGCTACAGTCAGCTGCGCTTTCACAATATGAATTTTTAGAAAGTGTTACACACTTTCAAAAAATTTCATGCTTGTTCCAGACAAACCCTTCTGTCCCCGCTTGGCCCTTGCCCCATGGAGGGTGGTCCTTCTAGTTGACTTGAAACTCTCAAATCAACTCAGAAGGGCAGCAGCCGCCACAGGGCCTGTGCTAGTCATAAGGCACCCGGTTGGTCCTTGCCCCATGGCGGGTGGTCCTCTGTCCAATTGGCTGGCGGCCGTGGCTTCCACCCCGGGATCTCATCGTTGAAGAAGTCGTACCAGATGTGCCCTGCACGGCGACAGGCAGGGCAGGGGGGAGACAGGAACGCCATGGTGATTCGAGTGATTTGCAGGTCTAGAATCAGAGGCTTCCACCCACCCAGGCACATGTGGAGATTTCATTGTTGAAGCAATCGCACCAGATGCGGCCTGGAAGGGTTCGGAGTGGGCAGGGGGGGACATGGTGAGCTCATGTAAGATGCGGTTGAAACACCACATGTCTTCCACTCGGGATGGCATCCAGGGCATGCAGGAAAGCTAAGCGTGCCCACGATGTGTGGGGTGGGTGCATGCAGAGCAGCAAGAGGTGTGGCATGGCATGGCTGTGCACCATACATGGCTTTTTACCATACCTGGCTTTTCACCATACCTGGCTTTTCACCACACCTGGCTTTTCACCATAACTGGCTTTTCACCATACCTGGCTTTTCACCATACCTGGCTTTTCACCATACATGGCTTTTCACCATACCTGGCTGTGCACCGTACCTGGCTGTGCACCATACCTGGCTGTGCACCGCACCTGGCTTTGTTCCATACCTGGTTGTGCACCGTACCTGGCTGTGCGCCATACCTGGCTGTGCGCCATACCTGGCTGTGCACCATACCTGGCTTTTCACCATACCTGGCTTTTCACCATACCTGGCTTTTCACCATACCTGGCTTTTCACCATCCCTGGCTGTGCATCATACCTGGCTGTTCACCGTACCTGGATGTGCACCGTACCTGGCTGTGCACCGTACCTGGCTGTGCACCGTATATGGCTATTTACCGTAACTGGCTTTTCACCCTACCTGGCTGTGCACCGTACCTGGCTGTGCACCATACCTCACTGTGCACCGTACCTGGCTATGCATTGTACCTGGCTGTGCACCGTACCTGGCTGTGCACCGTACCTGGCTATGCACCGTACCTGGCTGTGCACCGTACCTGGCTGTGCACCGTACCTGGCTGTGCACCGTACCTGGCTGTGCACCATACCTGGCTGTGCACCGTACCTGGCTGTGCAGTGACCTGGCTGTGCACCATACCTGGCTGTGCACCGTACCTGGCTGTGCACCATACCTGGCTGTGCACCATACCTGGCTGTGCACCATACCTGGCTGTGCATTGACGCAGCACCAGATGCCCACGTACTGCCGCAGCCGCCATCTGAACTTCCTCTCCATGGCCTGCCCACCCAGCCATGCAAAGCGCCCACAGGAGGACAGAGGATGGAGGAGATCGGAGTCGACTAGAAAACATACCTACGCAACATAAACTGAGTTGTCAAATTAGGGATACCATCAGAGCCGGCACATGACATGAGTAGCTGCGCATACCATGCAGCAGCACACGACAGAGATGGTACATTAGATTTGAGAAAAGAGGAGAGGGGGAGCACAGAGGGTATGGGAAGAGAATGAAGAGGAGAGGAAACAGGGAGAGGCGAAGGGGACAGTTCTCTCACCTTGTCGTCCCAGCCTCCAAAGGAGTCCACCATGGAAGAAAACTCGATCCACTTGATGTCTGAGTAACGCGAGAGCACTGCCTTCAGCTGCAGGGACGATGAGTGGCATGGGGGGAGGGGACGCGAAAGGGAAGGAGACGAGTGTGTGCGTTGGTAGGAGGTGGAGGGGAAGAGGAGCCGCGAGATCAATGAGGGCAAACGAAAGACTGGATTGGCAGCACGTCACAGCACGGCAGCATACCTGCCAGCCAGCCAGTCATCTTCCATTTCCCACCCAACCATTTCAATCTAGCCATCTCGTTGTGCCTGGTGCTCTGCCATCTTGCCTCTCTCTCAATACAGCAAGTCGCCCCAAACTCGGTTACTGGAGTGGGGACGAGACATGCTCAAGGTTGTTGTGCCGTGCGTTCTTCTTCATTCGGGCCTTGCCACTCCACAAAGTGGGGGTCTCGAGCGTTAGCTTCCCTACCACCCACCCGCCCTCCCACTTTCCACCCCACGGCACCTCGTTCTGCCGCGTGTTCTTCTTCATGCGAATGGTGTCGGTGGGGCCATCGGGCGTGGAGGGGCAGTCGGGCGAGCCCTCGTCACACAGCTGCACGGCCAGCTTCGACTTGAGCACCTGCGCAATGGTGGCAAGGGGGAGGGATGTGGGAGAGGGGAAGCGGTGAGAGAGCCAGGGAGAGCCTGGCATGGTTTGAAAAAGGGAGGGGTGAGGGGGGGATCTGGCGTTGCTGGGCCAAATTCACCCTCTTTGAGCTTGCCTGTCTGGCAGCAGCGCTGCACCTCCAGCACATGATCCACGCGGGGCAGCAACGGCTGGGGCATGCGTGCTGGAATGTGGAATGTGCCCCAGGCAGAGGTGGCGGCGAGAGCAGAGCACAGCACTCACCGCTTGTGGGGTGCGTGGGTTGTCGAGGAAGGAGTACTCGCGGATGGGCACGGCGGGGCCGAACTCGTCGTCCTTGAGTGCGCCGGGCAGCATCTTCTGCACCTCCACCACGTGGTCCGCGGGCGCCAGGAACGGCTGCGGTGTGTCGGTGCCGTCCAGTATCCCGGGGTGGGGGAACCAGATGCGATCGTACCGCACCCACGTGGCAGGCAGCACCTGCAGTGGTGGGAGAAGGGCGCAGGTGTTTTGGATGGGGGAATCAAACGGTTCCTTTAAGTCGTGCCCACGCGCTTCAACACATGCATGCGCAGAGCAGGGCAGAGCGAAGCAGAGCAGATCGGAGCGGATCGGATCGGAGCGGGGCGGGGCGGGGCGGGGCGGAGCAGGGCAGGGCAGGGCGGGGCGGGGCGGGGCGGGTGAGACAAAGACTTACAAGTGTTCTGTTGAGTATTGTGGCGATGGCGAGCGCTGATCTGAGATTGACGAGCTGCACGATGGATGCACGGAGGAGAGGAAGCATAGAAGAGGGAGATCAGTCAAATTGACTCAAGTCGAGCCCAGTATTAGTGAGTGATGGCATGGACCGTGTCTGAGACGGATGCTGATAGTTGCATGAGTGGAGGGCAGAAGACGACAGACGAGGGACTTTTCACACGCTTAAAATGACACGTGGCAGCATGTGAGAGAAAATAAGTATGCTAGCCTAGAGGTTGGCAGGGTTGACCAGGTTGACCAGGTTGATTCCTGCTGCTTGGCTGCTCGTCTAGCACTGGCTGACCTGGTTGACTGGGCTGGCAGGGAGCTGACCTGGCAGGGAGCTGACCTGGCAGGGAGCTGACCTGGCAGGGAGCTGACCTGGTAGTTGACGAGGCTGAAGTGCGTCTGCAGAGAGTGGTCGCCACCTGTCAGCAGCTCCTCCCGAATGTTGTTAACGAATGACAGCACGCCACCTGGCAGGTACGCCACGCACACAGCATGTGGAGCCTGAATGAAAGCAGCAGAATGAAGCAGGGATGAACACGTACAAACCACTGTCTCAACCAAGTTAAGGCCACTGTGACTGGCGAATTGCAGTACTGTGGCAATCAACGCCACAGCTTCTCTGAACTGAAGCAATGCCTCTTGCTGTCCGTCTGCGTGCCATGTGCCTGCCTGACCCACTTATTCGCACTCTCATTACTGATAACTAGGCCACTGTTTAGATTCTCAGCTCCCCACCTGGCGGGTCACAGTACTCGGGAGGGTCAATCAACGCCACGGTCTCTCTGAAGCCATGCCGCTTGCCGCTTTCCATGCGCCTGCCTGTCCCCTTTACTAGCCGTCTCATGGCATGGCATGCATCAGTCCACGGTACCTGGAGGGTCGTAGTACTCCGGGGGGTCGATGAACGCCATGGCCTCGCGGAAGCGGTGGCGCTTGCCGTTGGTGCCCGCGAACTGGAACGTGGCGTGCATGGCGTACGGCTCCACGCCCACCCGCCGGTACAGGTGCTGGTGGCCGCCCAGGGGCGCGGGTGGGAGGGAGAGGGGATGGGGGGGGAAGGGGGAAAGGGCAAGGGGGCACGGGAAGTGCGAGAGTGCGATGCATGGAAAAAGGGTTCCGGCTGAACCGTTTAGCCCCCCACGTGGTACCGGTGCTGGTGGGGTGGACGGGGGAGAAGAGGCAGGAGGAAAGAGGGAAGCTTGAGAGCAGGATGCATGGCGTAGTGCTCTTGCCCTGCGTTGCCACATTCTCACGTGCTCAAAGTAGGTGCGGGCAGAGCAGAGCAGAAGAGTGCGACGGGCAGTATCCCCAGGTTGTGGCCAAAGCGGGACAGCACTACAAGTCAGCATCCGCAGCCTCAGAAGAGACCCAAATCAACTCAAGTCTACGCAAGTGAATGCGGGCATGCACGTGTGTCACCTGCACGAAGTAGGTGTGGCCGGAGCAGAAGAGCGCGACGGGCAGGATGCCGAGCTTGAGCGAGCCGTCGAAGGCCCAGAAGACGTGGTCGTGGGCGTCGGGGTTGACGGCGGGGCCCAGCTTCTGCCGCATGAGGTCGTTGAAGCCGTTCTGGTCCCACACCTTGCCGTCCAACGCCAGCTGCTCCGCCCACGCGCGCGCAAACCGCTTTGCCGGATCCGTGGGGCGGAAGTGCAGAATGCCTATGTTGTACGCGCCCTGGGCTATTGGGGGGGGGGCCAGGGAGAGAGAAGCAGAGAATGTAAAGGTGAGGCGAAAGTGCAGAATGCCTATGTTGTACGCGCCCTGGGGTGGGGTGGATTAAGAGCGGGTGTGAACAAGCGGCACGATGAGAAGTGAAAAGATGAGGCACTAACTGCCTTGCCGCCGGGTTTGTGCGGCGGAAATGCAGGATGCTGATGCTGTATGTGACCTGCTTTACAGGGGGTAGGAGGAGGGGAAGGGGGAGGAGGGAAATGCGGAGGAGGGACGACGATGAAAGAGCAACAACAGAAGAGTTATATGTTCACCGCCTTGTCAGGCGTGTGGGGAAGACGTGCAGGATGCCGATGCTCTATGTGCCCTGGGCTATAGCGGGTGGGGGGGAGGAGGAGGGAGGACGGAGGGGAGAGAGGGAAGGGAGGGGGGAGAGGAACAAGAGAGAGAGAAATAAATGCAGGGTGTCAATGCTATATACCCCCTGGGCTACACAGGGGGATGAGCATCTCGCCCCGGCGGGTCGGGTCAGGAGTTCTGAACCGCTGACCCGGCCGGGTCGGGTCGGGTATACCCGGCCGGGTCGGGTCGACTCGTGACCCGATTCCGGGTCGGGTCGGGTCGGGTCAGGTTTTGACCCGATTATGGACTCGACCCGGTTTCGGGTACCGCGCCCTATGTCGGGTCGGGTATCTGGCCCGACCCGAGGGTTTCCTCTCGACAATGTTATCCAGATCGCAATCACGCTTGCTTGTTTTCTCAGCGACTAGCATTTCGATCTGGATTAAGCTAAGTTAACTAGCTAGTGACGCCAGCAGCCACCCCCAAGCAACATTGGCGTACTAATCTACCCTATAACCTACGATAATGTTTAGTTAGTACTCAGCCAATCGGTTTTTTATAAGTTATTCGCACTTCGCGCCAACCAGTCTAGGGTTTCCTTTTAATCCGAAATTAACAGGTCGCGCTCCCTCCCTAGGCGCACGCATTGCAGGCCCGCGTTTTAGGGCATCTCGGCGTGCCGTGCAGGCGCAGGTCGCTAGAGCCGCGGCCCTGCTGAAGGCTTCGAGAAACGTCATTCGCCAAGGTCCTGCACAGTATTAAGGAGAACCTCTAACCCTGCCTATGGGAGTCGGCCCGACCCGACCCGACCCGGCCCCGACCCGACCCGACCCGGGGGCGGGTCAAGCCTGACCCGGCACCCGATACCCGGGTCGGGCAAGAGATCTTTGATGTTCCGACCCGACCCGACCCCACCCGACCCGGAACCCGGCTGGCCCGCCCAAGTCGGGTCAGGTCGGGTCGGGTCGGGTCGGGCCGTTTGATCATCCCGAGGAGAAGGGTCAGGGGGAGGGAATGGAATGAGAAGGAGGGGACGGAAGAGTAGGGGAATGGGGAGGAGGAGGGGAAGGCGGAATGGGGAGGAGGGAAGAATAAGAGAGAGCAACAAATAAAAGTGATACTCTAAACCGACTGCTTCATCGTTCACTCACCCCGCTCCACAGAGCGCACGAGATGGTCGCATTGCGTGAGCCCACTCGATTCATCATTCATCAGCCCCTTTCCCCCTCTACTCCACTACGCCTACCTCAGCGCACCATGGGAACACAGCGCGCACACCGACTCACCCTGGTCCCAGTGCTCCAGCGACTCACCCTGGTCCCAGTGCTCCAGCGACTCACCCTGGTCCCAGTGCTCCAGCGACTCACCCTGGTCCCAGTGCTCCAGCGACTCACCCTGGTCCCAGTGCTCCAGCGACTCACCCTGGTCCCAGTGCTCCAGCGATTCGTCGTCCACCGACCGCACCAGATGGTCCGATGACGTCAGCACGTCCGCCTGGGGGTAGCGCGCCATGTACGGCAGCGGGTTCTGAGCGGCGGGGCTCGTTGGGAGGTGGGGAGGGGTTGTGTGATGGGGGAAAACCGGGGGAGTGAGGCACGTAGGGCATATCGATCAGATACACAGGCGGACATGGGGAGAGGAAGGGGGTGAGGGGTTCAACCACAAGTCTAGTTGTCCGCCCGCTTGGGGGTATCGAGCCATGTAAAGGCGGGGATTCTGGGAGGAGCGGGGCGTTTGGGAGGCGGGATGGGGGAAATATGAGAGAGTGTGAGGGTATATGATTCTGGGAGGTGGGGGCAGATTGGAGGCGGGAAGGGGAAAATAAGTGACTGCGAGGGTAAAGGGTTGTGAGAGGAAGGGTGCACATATGGGACGTGAGAATGGGGGGAAAAGACTGACTCATGCGCTCACGTGCCACACACATACACCCACACACACACCCACCCACACACACCCATACACACACCCATACACACACCCACCGACACACACCCATACACACACCCACCCACACACACCCATACACACACCCACCCACACACACCCATACACACACCCACAAACGCACCCATACATACACCCACACACGTACCCATACACACACCCACACACAAACCCATACACACACCCACACACAAACCCATATACACACCCACACACAAACCCACACACACACCCACACACAAACCCACACACACACCCACACACAAACCCACACACAAACCCATGCACTCACCCACACACAAACCCACACACACACCCACACACGCACCCATACACACACCCACTCACAAACCCATACATACACATACCCACACACCCACAGAGACCTCCCTCACCCGCAGCCAGACGGTGCCGGTGTGAAAGATGATGAGGTGCACGCCTGGCCCCTACCCCTGGCCCCCTGGCCCCACACAAGCATGCACACACCAAGGCCCCCCTTACTCGCAGCCACACAGGTACTCTCAGACGCCTCTTACTCGCAACGCAGCGACCCCCCCTCGCCCTCACTCTGAGCCAGACGGTGTCGGTGTCGCAGATGAGCAGCTGCACGCCCAGCGACAGGAACACGTTGATGAGCGTCACCTTCTCGCGCCCCATGGCGTGGAACACAGGCGTGCCCCACCCCGGGTCGTCCGACGTCATGCCGCTCTCCAGGTCAAACACCGGCACGCCCTCCCTCCACAGCGCCTCCAAGAACTTGGTGTCCATGGCGCCTGGCGGGGGCGGGGGATGGGTACCGGGGGGGGGGGAGACGTGGTGGGATTGTTGTTGCGAGAGGGGGAGCAGAGCGCCTCTAGGAACTTGATGTCCATGGCGCCTGATATGGGGGTGGAACGGACATGAGAGGCGGGGAGCATGCGGAGTCATGGTGTTTCCTGCTCCCCAGGGCACCAACCGACCACGGGCGTGGCCCACGGCGGGCCGTCTGTTGTCATTCAGCTCTCCCCGTCAACCACCGCCACGCCCTCCCAGTACAGCGCCTCCAGCAGCCTGGTGTCCATGGCGCCTGGTGGGGGAACGTGGGCAGCAGGAGGCAAGTGAGAAGAGGGGATGCTCTTGCACGTGAGGTCACGGTGCACAGCCCAAGTCAAACACCGGCACGCCCTGCCCTGCCCGCAAAGGGCTGTCAGAAAATTCATGCCCACAGCGCCTGATGCAGGAGGGGTATGTGCATGAAATGAGGGGGCATGGGGAGTAAGCCCTTTCCTGCTCCCCATGGCACCGATGGCCCACTGCCGCACCCCACCCCGGGTGGTCCGTTGCCCATGCCACCTTCAGAACTTTGGTGTCCGTGGCACCTTGTGGGCGCATGTAGGCACACGGAAGGACACTATAATTTTGGACCATTGGAGTGAGCTCGCCAGAGCTGAGACACATGCACGGATCAGTCCAGTGCATTCCAAGCAGGGCAGCGAGCAAGGCAGGTGGCAAGGCAGGTGGCACTGACCGACGAGGATGTTGTGGACGCCGAGGTCGGTGAGGTGGCGCACCCAGTTGAGCACGAAGTCGAGGAACGCGTGGTTGGCGAACGTCACCACCACCACGCCCTCGCGCTGCCGCTGCTCCACCATCTCCCGCCGCAGGGCGAACTCGGCCCTCGCTGGCACCGCGCTGCCCGGGGGAGGCTTCTCCCAGATCTCGCGCTTCAGGGCGGCCAGCAGCGGCCTGCCCTCGTGCAGAATGGGGCGCACGCCATTCGCGAATGGCCCCGCCCCAGATGCGCCTGCCCCAGATGAATCCGTGGAAGTCGCGCCTGCATCCACTTCTCCAGCAGTCGTTCCTAGTGCCGGGGCTGTTGCTGCAGGTGCGTCTGAAGGGAGATCCAGGGATACTCCTGCTGCGCCTGGCGTTTCCTCCTTGCCCCCTGCCCCTGCTGCCCCTGCTGCCCCTGATGCTCCTGTCTCTTCTGTTGCCCCTACCTCTCCTTCCGCTGCTCCTGCCTCGTCTGCCCCTCCCGACCCTGTCGCTCCAGCTGATTCCGCTGCTGCAACTGGTCCAGCCGGGACGTGGTGTGCTGCAGCGGGGTTGGCGGGCGAGGCAGCGTCGGGGTCCACCACGTCGAGCGCCATGAGCGCCATGGACGCCTCCCTGGGCAGGCCCTGCAGCGCCGCTGCCTCCAGCCCTGCACGCACGGCGAGAGAGAGACGTGCGACTGGTGTGTGTGAGTAGAGAGGGTGGGTAGCTTCAAAGTGAAGGACGTCAAGAGGCAGGAGGCAGGAGGCAGGAGGCAGGAGGCAGGAGGGAAGAGATGCTTCCTTCAGGCGGGCCTTGCAGTGCTGCTGTCTCGAGTCCTCCACGCATGGAGAAGAGAGGAGGAGGGGGTAGACAGGGGACAGGGGGAGACAGATTGCGGGAGAGAGGGTGTGTGACCAGAGAGGGTGAGAGAAGAAGGTGTGTGAGTAGAGAGGGTGAGCAGCGTGAGTGTGAAGGGCATTAAGGAGCGGAGCACATGCTGCCTTGGCCACGCCTTCACGTGCTGCTGCCTCTACCCTGCGATGGGTGAAGGCACGCGCAGAGAGAGGGGTGCTGCGAGGGGAGGGTGAGTTGAGAGGGGTTAGGGAAAAAGAGGCGTGTGACTAGAGAGGGCTCGACTACAGAGGGGGACCTTCGAAGGTAGGACTACTGAGGGCGTGGGAATTCAGATGGTGGAGGTGGAGACTAGGTAGGGGAGGGTGGGACTAGAGCGGGTGAGCGGCCCGAGCGGCAAGCCACGAGTGCGATGAAGCCTTAAACTCACTGACTCACCATCCCAGCAACCTCGAAACCCGTACCGCACCTCGCGCGTTGCCGACGGGCCGAATGGTTCCTCCCTGCGCTGCTGTTCCCGTCGTGCCAGCGGCAGTGGCGTCCGAGAGGCCCTCGCGGTACTCCTGCAACCTCGCTTCCATCTCCCAGTACAGCGGCCGACCCACATAGTACAGAATCACCACGATGGCAACCGCTGCCACCACGTTCAGCACGCGAATTCGACCCGCCATGCGTGCATCGGAAACAGTCTGTTAGGGATGGTTCGCCAAACCACGGAACCTACGGCGAAATGCGGAATGACGGCGGAATGGAAGCGCGTGGGAGATTCTAGATCGACGACGGTGGAAGTCGGCCTACGGTGGGGAATAGAAGCTACGGCGTGAGAAGCGGGAGAGAAATCGAGAAGAAATGTGCTAGGAGGAAGAGAGAAGGAGAAGCATCGAAAATGAGATCGACGGGGGAAATTGTGGTTCGAGACCTAGGCGCGTTCGAGATGGTGCTGGTTTCGGACTCGAGGAGTGTTCACCGAATTCGGTTCGGTTCCGTTTGCGACTCAGGGTACCCGAGGCGCGCGCGAGATTAACTGGGAAACAAGTTACGTTACGAATCGCGTTTTGTATCTTGTTGGACAATAAAACTGCTTGTACTCATTCTGGACAATATACCAATCAGATTCTGAAAATTGCTGAAGTGTATTGACAACTTCAAGCAGAGCTGTGCACATAATTGGAATTGGGTGATCGTCGAGAACACGATAGGCACTAGCAAGTAGAACATTGCCGACCTAGAACTGGTATCAGAGCTTGGCAAACTGGTATCGTCGTGAATTCACTTGGTGCGCTAAGTGAAATTAGTGGAGAAGAGGAGTTATTCACGCCTACGCCATGACGGACGAGGCGAGTTCGGGTTCCAGCATGAGTCTTGAAGACCCGCAGTTGAAGGCTCTTCTCGAGGCCTTTGCGAGCAGCCGTTTGGTGGCGAAACCGACGATCGGGCTCAGTGAAGCCCAACGCTTTAACGACAGCAACTACAACGTGTGGCGGAAGAAGTTTATTCGGAGGGCAGAGGAGGTTGACCTCTTGCCATGCTATCGTCCCGACGAGGAGATGAAGGAGGGAGTTGCGCCTTCCACGACGGATACGAAGGAGAAAATAACGGCGTTAAAAAAGCAAAGTAAGAAAGCGTTCTTTAAGCTTTGTCACTCAGTTGCTGATGGAGTCGCAGTGGAATTGGACCAGTTTGCAGGGGAGCGGAACTCTTCACAGCGAGCGTGGGAGTACCTGGAATCCACGTACATAGGCATCAACGATGTCAACAAGAAGGCGATTATGAAGCAACTGCTGATGCTGAGCATGGAGAAATGCGAGAAAATCATCACCTACACCAATAGGGCGAAAAGCTACAACGACGACTTGCGGGTGATGAGAGCCACGGAGACGGAGCACGAGATGATCGACTACATAATTCAAGGCCTTCCCAAGGAGTGGGAATCCGACATTGGTATGTTTACGTACGAACCGCTAGGGAGTTTGACGAAGCTGCAAGAGATTCTGCAATCGCTTGAGACGGTGAAGGAGATGAGGAAAAAAGAAAGCGGCAGCAGCAGCTAAGGAATTCGACGAGGATAGGCCGGCTTTGGTGAATGCAACGAAGGCGTTTGGAGCGTGCTACCAGTGTGGAAAGAGAGGGCATAACGTGATAAACTGCTATCTGCGAAGTAGGAACTTCAAAGGCAAAGCGGTGGAGAACGAAAATGGAGTAAATGGGGGAGTGGAGTGGCAGCGGAAACGTGGTTTTGGCGGCAAGTGTGATTATTGTGGGCGCTACGGACATCGTGCCGCAGAGTGCTACTCCAAACCGAATAGCAGGAGCTACAAGGGTCCGTCGCAGCAGAGGAACGCGGCGGCAAAGGCGAATGTAGCAGAAGCAGAAAAGGAGGATGTGATTTTGGGAGGATCGCACCTTGCGAACGTAGTGCGTCTACCGAAGGATGTTCGACAGTCGGATGGACGTGAGAAGACGGCATAGTACATGGATAGTGGATTCACGCGACACATGACGTTCAGGTCAGACTGGATGGAGAACGTGAGGGAGTCCAGTGAGGATTATATACTGCAAGGTAACAATGGGAAGTTACCAGTGACAGGAGAGGGTGATGTGGTGCTGCAGAGTCCGTACGGAGAGGTGAAACTAGAGAATGTGTTGCTGGTTGAGGATTCAAAGGTGAATTTGATGAGTCAGTCACAGCTTGAAGAGTTGGGGTGCAAGATAAATTATGACAATGGCGAGGTTACTGTGTTTGGTCCTGAGTGGGAGAAGTATGCGGATGGTTATTTCAGCGACGGGTTCTATGAGATGAACTTGATCGCGATGAAATCTATGAGGACCCTGAGTATACTGAGATGAGAGAATTGGAGGAGTTATCGACTAAGGTTGATGAAAGTGAGGTCTTGGAGGATACGGGAGCAAGTGTGGAGCCAGAAGTGAAGCATGGAGAGGAGAACGTCACCATGGAGGCAGCAGCATGTCAAACTCATATGCTATAGTCTGTGTAGGCTGTAGTGGGGTAGACAATATGGGGTACAACACTTTTAGGTTTTCCTACTTGTACCCACCTGCTTGCTAGTTCATCCATCCCTCGTTCTTTAACATGGTATAGAGCAGGTTCCCTAGTGGGAACGTTTCCTAGGGCCCACCGAATATCCATTTTTTTTTCCTGCCCGGAGCGCGCTTCGCCCCTGCCCGAGTCGCGCCCCGTGTGCCTACCCTCCCGTCGCGTCCCCTGCCCTTAGTGGCCCGTCGCGCTCCCCTACGGCCCCGTAGCGGCCCCTCTCACGGCCCCTCTCACGGCCCTTCGCGGCCCCTTCAGGCCCCTCGTGGCCCCTTCGCGGCCTCCCTTCACGGCCCCTTCGCGGCACCTTCACGGCCCCTTCACGGCCCCTTCACGGCCCCTTCGCGGCCCCTTCACGGCCCCTTCGCGGCACCTTGTCAGTAGATCTGCACTGTGGATGCCCGATTGATCCTTGAGGGGTTACAGGCGCATTCGCCTGGGGGGTTATGGGCGCACTCTGACCCGCTACTTAATAAGCCCTTTTATCCCAATGGTCTAGTGGTTGGGATTCTGAAATGTTATCAGAGCGAAGGTCTCGGGTTCGAATCCCAGTGTGTGCACTTCGGGCATCCCAGTGCGGGGGGGTGTCAGAGGTTCACTGGTGATCCCCGATTGATCCTAGGGAAGGGTTACAGGCTCGTTGTCCTGGGGGGTTATGGGCGCACTGACCCGCTACTTAACAAGCCCTTTTATCCCAATGGTCTAGTGGTTGGGATTCTGACATGGTATCAGAGCGGTCTCGGGTTCGATTCCCGGTGTATGCACATGTAGGCCGTTGCCGCTGTGCTTAGTCCTGGGCCTCCCAGTGTGGGGGGGTGTCAGTAGATCTGCACTGTGGATGCCCGATTGATCCTGGAGAGGGTTACAGGCGCGTTCGCCTGGGGGGTTATGGGCGCACTGACCTGCTACTGAAACAAGCCCTTCTATCCCAATGGTCTAGTGACTGGGATTCTGACATGGTGTCAGAAAGGTCTCGGGTTCGAATCCCGGTGTATGCACATGTAGGCCGTTGCCGCTGTGCTCAGTCCTGGGCCTCCCAGTGTGGGGGGGTGTCAGTAGATCTGCACTGTGGATGCCCGATTGATCCTTGAGGGGTTACAGGCGCATTCGCCTGGGGGGTTATGGGCGCACTCTGACCCGCTACTTAACAAGCCCTTTTATCCCAATGGTCTAGTGGTTGGGATTCTGACACACCTTCGCGGCCCCCTCGCGGCCCCTTCGCGGCCCCTTCGCGGCCCCTTCACGGCCCCTTCGTAGCCCCTTCGCGGCCCCTTCACGGCCCCCTCGCGGCCCCCCTCACGGCTCCCTTCGCGGCCCCCCTTCACGGCCCCCTCGCGGCCCCCTCGTGGCCCCTTCGCGCCCCCTTCGCGGCCCCCTCACGGCTCCCTTCGCGGCCCCTTCGCGGCCTCGCCCCGTCGCCAGTCGCGGTCCCGCCGCGTCGCCCCCGCCTCATCGCGTCGCCCCTGCGGGACCCGCGAGGCGCGGCTCCTGTGCGTCGCGACGCCCCTGCGGGACCCGCGTGGCGTCACCCCTGCCCGCCGCGGCGCCCTGCCCTAACCCGAACCTGGAGCAGCCGCCACTGCAGCAGCCGCCCCTGGAGCAGCCGCCACTGCAGCAGCCACCCCTGGAGCAGCCTCCCCTGCAGCAGCCGCCCTGGAGCAGCCACCCATGCAGCAGCCGCCCCTGGAGCAGCCACCCCTGCAGCAGCCGCCCCTGGAGCAGCCGCCACTGCAGCAGCCGCCCCTGGAGCAGCCGCCACTGCAGCAGCCGCCCCTGGAGCAGCCGCCACTGCAGCAGCCGCCCCTGGAGCAGCCGCCCCTGCAGCAGCCGCCCCTGGAGCAGCCGCCACTGCAGCAGCCGCCCCTGGAGCAGCCTCCCCTGCAGCAGCCGCCCCAGGAGCAAACGCCACTGCAGCAGCCGCCCCTGGAGCAGCCACCCTTGCAGTAGCCGCCCCTGGAGCAACCGCCCCTGCAGCAGCCGCCCCTGGAGCAGCCGCCCCTGCAGCAGCCGCCCCTGGAGCAGCCACCCCTGCAGCAGCCGCCCCTGGAGCAGCCGCCACTGCAGCAGCCGCCCCTGGAGCAGCCACCCCTGCAGCAGCCGCCCCTGGAGCAGCCGCCCCTGCAGCAGCCGCCCCTGGAGCAGCCGCCCCTGGAGCAGCCGCCCCTGCAGCAGCCGCCCCTGGAGCAGCCACCCCTGGAGCAGCCGCCCCTACAACTGCCGCCCCTGGAGCAGCCGCCCCTGCAGCTGCCGCGGAGCCCTCGCCCTACAGTGGTAGCGGCCTCGCCGTTGCCGCCGTCGTACGCCTGCCCTTCTCGCCACTGGTGAGCACTGCCCTGCCCGTACTGCTGTTACTGCTGCTCTTGCTGCTACTGCTCTTTCCACTGCTACTGCTGCTCCTGGCGTGGCCAGATGCAGCTCCAGCGTCGTCCGCGTGAGTCCCTCACCCCCCAACAGCTTCGTGAGTGGTACGCTAGTTGGGGTTATAGGGGTGGCCGCGCTGCGACTACTGCTATTGCTACTGCGGCTACCACTGCTCTTGCTGCTCCTGGCGGTGGCCAGATGCAGCTCCAGCGACGTTCGCGTGAGTCCCTCACGCCCCAGCAGCTTCGTGAGTGGTAC